GAGTATGTTAGGGCGTGCCGTTCCTGTGCCTATATGTATATATATCAGGTACTGAAGAAAAACCGAATAGAGCAAGTCATTTGAAACCTTGGGTTGATGTGATTACTCATGAGACCCAGACAAAATTCACAGTTTGCTGTTGGATCCATGCTCAAACACCTACATATCGACCCTTAACCCTAAGTGTTTGGGTGATGCAACGGCATTTCTTATCTGTGTTCACGTCCTTAACCATTGTCAAGCTATTACCAACATCGTTGATCAAATAAAGGAACATATAGCAACATCGTTGATCAAATAAAGGAACATATATCTTCATTATAATCGCAGAATATGATTTTGCTTCCTACCAACAGCTGGTCAAGTGTTCTGATTTTTAATAAGAATCATTAGATAGACAGACTTAACACCTGACGCACATGTGAAAATGATGAGTTGGTAAGCAGCACCCGAAAGATGCACAACGGCTGCTATCGATGTGACGTAAATTTCAACACACTGTAGCCGCGTGAATGTATCGTGTGAACCGCCAGGCCGGTAGAGTGTAGTTTAAGTGAGTACTTTCTCAAGGGTAGTTGGTGAGGGCGGTAAAGGTAATCTGGCACAAGAAAGTCTAACACAATTTTACTATAAAACATGGGTCGTTCCTTCGATTTGAACACCCTCAACTTTAGAATTGCAATTCACAAGAGGATAAGATAGAGTGCACTACAAGGCGCTGAAGAAGCGCTACTAGTTCTGTGGGCACTTTAATTGTTGTTAGCAGCGAAAACACTCAGTCCTATGATTGTTTCCTTTTCCGAATGTCCTTCTACTTTTCAGTGCTAAATCCATCAATAAACTCTACTCAAAAAGCATTCATAGAGATGTATGCGCTCAAAACTCAGACAGTAATTTTCATTAACTTTTCGTAATTTTACCTCACTACAGCACATATGGTTGTATTTCCTGTTGAAACAATTATTCAGAACACATGCAAGCGGCTGCGAGCATAAAAATGACCTTTGAATACGTTATGAAGCCATGATGACTATGTTTGGTCCAAGCCTGACGAACTCAGCAAAGTCGAAGAGTTTTCAGCAACACTGTGAGTAGTTTCCTTTATCAACAAATTTTTGTTCATAAACATCTTCATGTGAATATCGCACATCACTCAAATTAGAAAACTTCACCAGTGCGACAGAAACGGCTACATGGATGATCAAGTTGGCATCAACATTTTCGCGACGGTCGCTACTGGATAATGACAAGGTGTGAGCATAGTACTGCATGCACTTGCCTTCTGGCGTGGCCAACTGCAAGACCCATTTGGCCATATATGGGAAACAGAGGGTCATTTGGAAGTGTTGCGCACTTAATTAGTGAAAGTTCTAGAAAAATTTAAAGATAGTCCAAACAAACAACACATTGCAACGCGACAAGCAAGGAAGGGATGTTTTCCGCAGGTTTTCAATTATCGGTTAATTAGTGAAAGTTCTAAAAAAATTTTAAAGATAGTCCAAACAAACAACACACTGCAACGCGACAAGCAAGGACGGGATGTTTTCCGCAGGTTTTCAATTATCGATGGAAACTCCGTTGTGTCTAATCACTTTTCTGTTACTGGCGTTTTGTTGTACAGCCGTTTACAGCGTGCAAGAGAGAATCATCAATTGCCAAGTTCACATTATCAAATCAGCGCAGGTTTCGAAAGCACGCGAGGTATCTGTCATAGCACGTTGTTCGGTATGTCGCACGCATAAGTTGGGCGCAGAAAAATGACGTTTTTGTATTCAGACCGCAGCCTCCGCAGTAGTAGGAATGTCCGAGCGCTAACGGATAACATTGAGGAAAAATTCAAGTATCATCTGTGGTGAACATGACACATGTTTTCTGATTTCTCTAACCTAACTAAAGCAGCCTAAGTCCTCAGCTCTTTTCCCGGACTCCACTGTAACTCACGTTTAAATCCCTTTCGTTGGGAAGCCCTGCCTCTGAGATGGCGCAAATTTTGTCATGAGTCCACATCGAAAGGAGCAGGCGCATTGGACTCACGTTTTGCTCCCATTTGAGCTCATCAGCAGTGCCGAGGTTTGGACTCCGGGACTCTGACATGCGAGGCGTGCTTGTTATTATGGCTGCACCAGCGCACGCTGGAGGCAACTAAATTATCACGTTTGAACAGGCAAACGTGTTCATCCTTGAGCTATGCGATTGTCTAGCAGGTTTCAAGCGACTGTGGCGCTCCCTGACTTGGAAGCCCCGATATGAGGATCAGTCAATCAACACAACACTTACTGAGTCGTTGTTCGATACGTCAGACAAGCAAATCACGTCATTCAAGCGTGAACACAGTCGTTTGTTCAGACGTGATAATTTAGGTGCATCCAGCGTGCGCTGGTGTATTCGTGATATCACGATCGCATTGTATGTCAGATGCCCGTATTTCAAACCCCGGTACGACCGAGGTTATGCACTGCTACTGGACTTTAATAAGAGCGAAACCCTAGTCCAGTGCCTCTTTCTTTTGGTGCGCCAGTACAGGGGGAAGGCAGTTGGAACGAAAAAAATGTAAACGTGAATCCATTGCAAGAAATAAAAAATTAACTCGTTCAGCTGTAGCACTCTTTAGGTGCCCAACTGCCATGCTACCAGAATGGGACACGAGGGTTGAGATAATGCCAGGTTGCCCAAGCCTAGGCAGGTAAAGTCGAGAGGCAGAGATCGTGTTCGAACCACAGACCTGTTGGTCAGTAAATTCGTGCTCTAACCACTAAGCCATCTCGCTCCTCAATCCATTTCAATAAAAAGTTTCATGGTGATAGTTCGGAAACCCAAAATAATAGGTCATTGGAGTGACTAAATAAGTTTAATATTTTTCGTCCGCATGTTCTGGAAGACAAACTCCCACCTTACACCTTATACTGAAGCATGCACACACCTGTGAGCGCATCATCAACAGATCGTCCACCTGGCTAGTCTTCCCGCTAACTGACACAGTACCTTCCCTGGTGACATCACATGAACACATTTTGAATAAACATAGAGCTCCTAGTAAAAAGCATACCCATGAATATCACTTACATCCCCAGTGGTGCGGCCAACCCATCGTGCCACGCAGTGAGAGGCAATTCATGCCCTCTCATTCATTATGTGAATCGAGCAGATTTTTCAGCTTAGCTATGTTAAACAGCTGCTCACCTCACCTATTTGATTTGTGACTCTATACTTCGACAGTCAGTACCAAAGATGTGCGTTTATAATGAATAAGGTGTAAAGACGGGGAATACTGCTATTACACCGCATGCAGGCGTTAATGATAGCGCAACTGAGCCCAGAAAGTATCTAAATGGACGCCACAATCCAACGTCAAGTTTGATAGTTTACAGCTGAATTGATTAACCTACATTTTCTTTCTTCTGAATGCTTCAGTCGTCGCTAAAAGACGATTGTTGGGAGCTCACGATGGCTTAACGTCACCAAATTGCTGCGCGAAAACGTCGACTCCGCCATTATACTCCATCTCCACAGTTTGAAGCCTCCATAACACTGATCCATGAGTGGTTCTCAAATTTATGAAAACGAACTGACTATCGAAAAAATGCATTGTAATCTTCTCTTACTTTAAGCCCTTATACTAAGTATATATGCATTTACATCGAAATCATATGATCGCGACATGTATACGTTCCCAGCTTTTTCGAAGTTCACTGGATCAAAGTCCGTTGCTACATCAGTGGAAAAATACTGGCAACCACGTGACCTGCCTCATCCAATCAAGAGTGACTAACTACCATAAGACTCAGATTGATGGGCTGTTTTGTTCAAAGTCCAGTGAGGCCTTTGACCTTCAAACTACATCTAGCCCATCCTTCATCCTTGAACAATCTTATAAAAGGCTTCATTCACTGATATTAGCAGACGTTTACATATGTTTCCACAATTTACTGTTCTTCAAACCGTCCTTATGCTTTTAGTCCGTACTCTTATTCACACATTTACAAAGTTACCGAGAAGCAAAGGCCTCATACTCAATGTGTTTAAAATTTTCTCTGCATGGTGAGTGCATCAAAAACTCTTGCGCACCCGCCCTTAGCCTGCTGAACGTTAGTGTCCGATGATCTGCCCGTGTTGTCATGATTAAAAATTAGGGATTTTTTAAAGTTATTTTAAACCATTGTCACTGTTTTTGTTACCGGTGACATCAAACCCATCATATATTGAATGCTTGAGACATTTGTCCCGTCTCGTTTCTACGTCCTTCCTCACGCTTGTAAATTTGATCGTTCTCAACAAATGTCTCGAATACTGACAGGAAAGTAAAATAATATTGTAATGACGGAAAAAACGTTGTTTCACTTTGACGTCATTTTCATGCAAGGAACGGTGGCACAGCAACTGACTTATACACTCTTCACAGGCTCCTTAATGCACAACCAAAAGCCAACGGATCTGACACGTTATTGTCGGACATCATGCACGTGTCTTGACAAAATTGTTTCTGGTGCTGGTCATTAGTGTCTGTCAAACAGGCTGGCACAACATTGTGAGTCCACAACATTGTGAGTCTGACTTTAGCTTCGATAAGCAGTTAACTACTCAGGCAATAAAAATCTGAGGAATATCATTCTGATGATAGCAACACGAGTACGACAGGACTGTATGCTGCAAGTCAACATGTCTTCCACGAAGGAACACGAAGAACTAGCCTGATTCTGAGAAAAAGGAATATGACGTATAATTCTAAGTGCGCCCAAGCAACTGCAGACCCAAGCTCAGAGTAGGGAGATAAAAAAGAGGAAGACGAGGAACGAGGCTCATAGAAGCTAGGATTGGCTTCAGAAAACTGTGACCTAAAGAATATTGAGCAAATAACGTAACCAACGTGTAGCGGAAAGCCATTCAATGGGTAAAAATAGCCTTCTGTGCAATACAACGCAGCATGCAAAACATATGCATCAGTTAACTGACAGCAGAAAGCAATAGTATTTGGCGTCGCAAGCTATTAAAACGAGTAGTACCTGGTAGTTATTGGCAAGACTCTGCCAGATTTGAGGCTTCAGGGTGTTGAATATTGCACTTCCATCAAACCAGGTAGATTCTTCTTTCTGGTATCCTAAACTCTCCGGTATTTTGACGAAAAAGGCCGCACTAAAAAACAAGCACGGCAATTTTAGCATGTTAGACCCAATGCCAAAAGTCAAGGAAGAGAAGCATCGTTACACATACCAGCTGATTTTTGCCTTAATAATTTAGGCAATGGTATCCAAAATCCAAGTCAACTTCACTGGTTACCTGGGGTGTGCACTACCGATATTGCTAAAAAAACTCCAAAAAGCTCGGCGGTTAAGGCATGAACTCACCGACTGGAGGGTTTGTGTCACAGTATATCGACTTCTGTTGTTTAGCTTCCGGCAACCTGGCTGTATCTCAGTGCTTGTGCTGGGTATCGCAACGCATTCCAGCTAATTCTTCATTTTATTTGTTGATGAAGTGTCGAAAACCTCGTGGATCATCTGCATTAATTAAAATGGCTCCACGGGTCATTTGAGTGTGTCTGTCCTAATTCGTGTTTGTTTTCAATTTTCAACCATAGTAGGCAGAAATGATAATGTTAAGCAACGAAATCCAATGGCACCTTTTGGAAATTTGATAGCTTTCTTGGTTGGTTTTATTCCTGTTTGTTAAACAAAGTTTTAGGGTTGCTTCATGTTTGATAAATTACCGCACTTTAATACCCAGTGTACCAAAAGCAAACTTTCCGTAACTATCAATGGGGCGCAGCTAGCGATGTTATGCCTCCTCCACCCAAACGATTCGGGAAGATCTATGAGCTAAATGAAGCCATTGCGAATGTATTTTCTTTATTGCGCATCCAAATTCAAATGAGCCAATAAAATCAAAAGCGCACCCTCTGCGAACTGTGAGTTCCCTTGAAAATACGGTAGGAAGGATGGCACACGCACAAATGCGACAGCTAACCAGAGGACTATGATTCCTTTAAGGAACTTATGAACACATGCATGCCTGCATACCATAAATCCCTACATACGTTAGGATTCATCTGGTATGATTGGAACTGTTGGTGGCATGACTTTGAATGAGAAGCTTCTCTCTTGTTATCTAATGTTCTTTTGTCAACCACATCCATTGCTCGCATTTACTTTTATATCTGTGACCGTGCTCTTCAAAAAAAAACAAGCACGGCAATTTTAGCATGTTAGACCCAATGCCAAAAGTCAAGGAAGAGAAGCATCGTTACACATACCAGCTGATTTTTGCCTTAATAATTTAGGCAATGGTATCCAAAATCCAAGTCAACTTCACTGGTTACCTGGGGTGTGCACTACCGATATTGCTAAAAAAACTCCAAAAAGCTCGGCGGTTAAGGCATGAACTCACCGACTGGAGGGTTTGTGTCACAGTATATCGACTTCTGTTGTTTAGTTTCCGGCAACCTGGCTGTATCTCAGTGCTTGTGCTGGGTATCGCAACGCATTCCAGCTAATTCTTCATTTTATTTGTTGATGAAGTGTCGAAAACCTCGTGGATCATCTGCATTAATTAAAATGGCTCCACGGGTCATTTGAGTGTGTCTGTCCTAATTCGTGTTTGTTTTCAATTTTCAACCATAGTAGGCAGAAATGATAATGTTAAGCAACGAAATCCAATGGCACCTTTTGGAAATTTGATAGCTTTCTTGGTTGGTTTTATTCCTGTTTGTTAAACAAAGTTTTAGGGTTGCTTCATGTTTGATAAATTACCGCACTTTAATACCCAGTGTACCAAAAGCAAACTTTCCGTAACTATCAATGGGGCGCAGCTAGCGATGTTATGCCTCCTCCACCCAAACGATTCGGGAAGATCTATGAGCTAAATGAAGCCATTGCGAATGTATTTTCTTTATTGCGCATCCAAATTCAAATGAGCCAATAAAATCAAAAGCGCACCCTCTGCGAACTGTGAGTTCCCTTGAAAATACGGTAGGAAGGATGGCACACGCACAAATGCGACAGCTAACCAGAGGACTATGATTCCTTTAAGGAACTTATGAACACATGCATGCCTGCATACCATAAATCCCTACATACGTTAGGATTCATCTGGTATGATTGGAACTGTTGGTGGCATGACTTTGAATGAGAAGCTTCTCTCTTGTTATCTAATGTTCTTTTGTCAACCACATCCATTGCTCGCATTTACTTTTATATCTGTGACCGTGCTCTTCAAAAATAAACGATAATATAGGAAGGACACCATAGATGGTGTATAAATAAGCGAGAAATATAATGACGATCTGATTAGCACTCGTTGGAAACCTCGGCCACATGTCAAAGATGTGATAAAAGCATGCATGGATTTCCTCAGAATTGTTACGGAATTTGAAGAATTTGAAGAAATATTAACTTGCAGAATGTCATGTGCCGATGCTAGTGTGGCTGTAGGTGTCTCGAGCCATAAAAAGGTCATAAAGTTACTGCTGCATCAGGTAGATAAAAGGAAGACCCGGAGTCTTTAACCACGGTCAGAACAGCTTGCCAGATAGATAAGGACGGGTCAGTTGCATTGACTGATGAAGGCATTATTGTTGAATCCTTCGAGCAGGTAAGAAAACCCAAGGAAACTACCGACCGGTGGTTCTGGTCTTAGCACTGAGAAGATTAAAAATCATCCCACCTACGTGCACGACGCAGTGTTCTGATTTCTGGTGACGCCTACTTCCCATCGACGGATCGCGTTCAACCCAAGTCCCACCAAATATAGAAGAGTGAGCATGAATGATCGACGGTTGGGCTCACACAGACGGAACCCATGTGTCCGGTGGATTCAAGCATCATTTGAGCTGGTTTGGCCAAGAAAAGCCGGCGTCTTGTTGGCAATAAGGATGGTTACCGGCTGAACTAACGCTAAAATTAACGATGATGGCCAGTGAAATCTTACAAATGTAAGCCCCTTGGCCTCTGTCGTTTAGGAAATACGTCAACAGGATCGCTAGAACCCTGAAATCGGAACGTCTACAAACAACCGCAAAATGTAAACAACGATGGGAAACAAAAATAGACGGGAAGTTGACCACCGATCAACTTTGGGATGTATCATCACAACTTGAGCCAACGTACCAAAATTAGCCGGAGTGATGGCACAAACCAAAAAACTGGCAAACTGCTTGCTAGAAAAATTGGTTAGACTGTGGCACTCTTTCGGTGTCTGGCTAACATGCCAACGGAAGGAGGCACGAGGTCTGGGATACTACCAGTGTGCCCAAGCCTAGACAGGAGCAGCTGAGAAACTGAGGATGGGTTTCAACCACAGACCTTCTGATCCGTAAGCTGGCGCCCTAACCAATGAGCTACATCAAGCTTCTACCCCTGATAATGTAAAATGTGTCGTAATTGTTCTCTAAAAGCAGCAAGACAAAGGAACAGATAGCAACAGCTGCAAGCGAATTCAGACGTTTTTCCAAAACCTTCCAGTGTTATATCTTACATTAAGAAAATACATCTGTAAGGTTTATTAAGGCATCAAGTGTGAATATCGCTACGTCTGTCAACAGCTGCTGACCGTCGTTCTGATGAATTGTTTAGAAGACTGCCCCCAAACCAACAAATCCACTTCATTAGCAATTTGCCTTGTGTACTGAAACCTTGTTTTAACATTTCAGCCTATTGTTGACATCATATCAGAGTGTTGGCTCCTTTTATATCCTGGTTAGCTTGAATTCCATATCACGGAATGATCCACTTAATTTCAGTACAACTTCCTCAAAGTTGTTCATCTCCTCTATTTCGGTGAATTGACGAGTCAGAGTGATTCATCGTTAGAGGACATAGCACGAAAGATACTGAGTTGCACTATTTCATAGGAAACCCATATATGTTCTCCATCAGTGCTTAATTGTCACTGAAGACATCACTTAAAAACAAGCCCGTAAGTTGCGGGTACCAACCGGTACATTGCTGGGTGTTAAGGCAAACTTTCACGCAGAGCTTAACGCCACTGGTCTGCTTAACGCCGTGGGCGGCTGAATTGACACGAAGGTTGAACATCTAGCGTAAAAACCCTTCAATGATACGGAACAGCTTACTGGAAGAGAGTTGGAGAATGAGCACCATAATGATGCCTTAAATCCAGGATCAGTCGACAAAAATAATTCCTAGGTTTTGTTGTTTCCCCTTTGGTGTACAGAGACTGCACAGTGGAGATACTGTTTATACTAAAAAAAATGCAATGCTCTAAACACTTGTTGATTATTTTCCATGCGACAGACCACAATTTCGAGACGGAAACTTAGCCGATGTATGGATGGGCTAATGTATATCGACCAGCAATTTAAGTGGTGACTAACTAGAACTTTCGATGTGTGGGGCTGATACTGCGACGCAAGCAAAAAACTGCATCAGTTCTCCTTATATGGCTGGTTTGAAAGCTTCCGGTTAGCGGATTCGGAACGCCTAAAGCATCAACTGCCTTAATGTGAGAAACGAAAGACTAGTTTGCGAACGAAAACGAGAATGGTAAATCAGCAATCTGCGCATGTGTCGCTGAAAAGCCACAAAACTTTTCCAGTTGCAGCCCCAATGGAGAAAAAACGGTAGACACTTGTGTCAGCTCTTTTAAAGAGCGACGCCGTACTTGACTGATTTTCATCATTTAAGAATGAGAAGAAGTGCAGAAACGGGCATCACCTGGCGTCGGATCGCTCTTCCAAGTTAGAGGTCATAGAGTAAACCTTAGTTTATCTCTTGTTGAAATCTTTCAGCCGTGGACACCTCAACTATTCCAATCAATATGTTTTTCCCCTGCCGGTAATAGGAGACTGTCCGTATTCTTCGTAGTCTACGTTGTTAGCTTACGACCGCAGAATACTTTGCATGCAAAAACAAGTAGTTCTTCGGCACTCTCGCGTAAACATATCTACGCTGAAGTGCCTGCAGGCGTACGACCCTCCGTGCAAATAGGCAATCATTCGGTGGCCTTCTGCTGAACTCCTTTTGGCTCGTAATGTTCCATGTGACTGAAAAGCGGTCCAGCTAACAGTATAGCAAAGATGGATCCACAAACCTACTCAATGATATTGGCACGGAATCCCTCATTTAATACGAGAATGAACGTCAGAAGATCCATATAATCTGCCATACTTTGTTGA